TACCTTCTGTAGATACAATCGTACCACGCCTCTGCTGATTTATGTTGCTAGCTTTTCAGGGGAAGGCCCATTTCTTAGCATCTCTCTGGGCCACAGCTCTCGCCCTAATCTCATCCGCTACATCAACTCTCTCCTCCACTATAAACCCCGATGTCATGTTTTCGTTCCTCTTCAAACAAGACTCTTGCTAGTTGACTTTTGTCTTGCTTAATAGCAGCTGGCCCGTTAAAAAGCTAGCCCGATTTGTGACTGTGCAGAAGCAAGCGCTGATACAGACAATTAAGTGGAGAATTTAATGGTATGGATTTCCCAGCAGAGTTATCAATTAGCACAAGCTGTTCGCCAGCCGGCTGCTGTGCGGATCACGGCGTGGGCACATCCTGAACTGTGGCTGATGTGTTCACCAGGGCAGCGAGGCAGAGGGTGGGTTTCATCCGGGCTTATGGTTCCCGCCTTGCATTTTATGCAGAAACAGGGGGGAAAATGGGCCTTTTCACGATGAAAGGTTTTGATATGGATCTTTGGATGGGAACGTCTCTTCTGGCCAGGCATTGTCGTCATTAAAGATCTGACTGCCGTGATCATGCTGCTCTAATAAGCTACAAGGTGTGGATTTGTTGGCTCCCAGTCACTCCAGATCACACCTGCCCAGTTTACTCACTGATTTTCCTACCTTAGGTGGTCCATAGTAGTGCGTGGTAGAGGAGAATGGAAAGGGAGGAGATGCCTGATGTTAGGGAGCTCTTAAACTAGGAGGAAAAGGATATTGCAAGGTCTTATAACTGCAAGAAGGTGCTGGTGAAGTTCAAATGGGAAATGAAACACAAGTATTAATAACAGAAAGGATATGCAGCTCCTGGACCATCTGCCAAGAAAGTTGGCAAAAATCTCAGGCAAGGACCTGTCGGCATGAGCGACCAAAGTATCTCGGATGCCCTCTGAGTCCTCCAGCCCTGCTAAGCACCTCCCCAGCCGCTACCCAAGTGTCTTTGCAGAAGGAACATCACCAAGTTCAGCCCCGAGCTGGACTCTGCAAGGGGGAACTCCCCAGCCCATGCCTTGTGGGGCTCCACAGGGTCCCCATGAGCATCACAGCACTGCCTTTCAGTAGCCTCAACTTCTCCGTTGTGGTCAAGGACAGCAATTTGGCTTCTCATCCAAGAGCTGCTTCTGCCAAAAAACAAGAGGAGTTTCTATAGTTTCCCTTTTCATTACCAACTTTGGTCACGATGACCCCCATAAATAAAACAGCTAATTAACGCCCTTCTCCTCCCATCAGTGATTGACTCTGACCTTGAACGACCTTGCTTAATTTAACTTTCTCAACCAGCTATTTTTGACAGCGAATAATTTAACATCCTTGTGACCCCAGTCTTGTCTCTCTCCTGCCAACTGGCTCTGCAGTTTAAATGAACGGCAATAAATAAATACATATCTGCAGAGGGACCTAAATGACTCCCATTACTGGAGCATCTGAAGGCCTGCTTAAATAAATCAAGTGAGTAGGAGATTATGCTGCAATCATGTGGAGAGGGAAAAGAGAGAATACATTACTGGTGTTCCAGAGGCAGCAGCCGGGGTGAACAACTTTGTAGAATTCAGAAAAATGAGGTTTAATTCAAGTGCGGATGGAAGACAAGAGGAATCATCTTCAAAGGGAGCAGAAGATGGAACTTGGTAGGATCAACAGTGCTCATCTGGGGATGGGGCCATCAGAGGTTGCTTCCTGCATCTCCGCAGGGTGAACGTGAGGATACAGGCAACAGCCACCCAGCTGCGGTCATTTTCTCACTTTTCTCCCCCAAACATGCCCTCAAAGGGGAGAGCTGGCCTTGCATGGGAGCAGGCAGGTCTTCACCTCCCACTGCTCTGGGCTCCCCCCCTCACCTTGAACCACCCACGACCAAACCTCACCTTGGGGGTCCCCTGCATGAGCAAGAACAACACATTTCTCCCAGGAGAGAGGAAAACCTCACCAAGTCATCTGCTTTGAAATCCCAGAAGAAATCATGAAATCCCATTTGTTGGAAGAATCAACAGCTGCAATTTTCCTCCTCCACTATGCCTTTTACCTTATTCCTACCTATTCCCAGGATCTACTTTTAAAGCATCACTATTTCTTCCTTCCCCCCTGCTCAGCCCCCTCCCTCGTCACCACGGCTTCATTTGCATCACGCCGAGGAGCAACAGGGCGTCGTTATAAATCGTATTTACATCATTTTCCTTCCCCTGCTGAGGCTGAAATCGAAAATGCAACTAAGTTAATCTGCAAGATCTGGGCCTGTGATGAGAGCGGGCCCGGGCTCCGCATCCCTGTAGGGAGATGAGAGCAGCTGGGGACCCACTCGCTGCCTTAATTCGGCAGAGGAACTTTTCCCTGATGCTTTCCAGCCCATTAACAAAATCAAAGCCGGGCTCCTGCTGCTGACTCGTCTCAAGGGTGAGCCCATTTTCTCGTTTTTCTTTTTCCTTACTCTTCTTTCCCATCCCTTCATCCGGCACTGTGTGCATCACTCATCACCCCTGCGGGTGACAAACTCCTCCATGTGCCCCCCGGTCCCCACGTCCCCAGCAGCGAGATGCTCCCCCTTAGCAGTTTTGGGGTCAAATTGGTGAAACAGCACAATTAGAATTTACCTGTTTACATCCATCACCGTTAAAGCAAGCACCGTGGCAGCTAACTGGGCAGCGGGTGTCTGTACTGGGGGGGGAGGAATGATGGATGATGATACTAATTAATTAACACTGATGGAGTGTCTCCCCGTTTAAGCACATCACAGATCAAAATGGGTTCTGCGCTCTCCCTGCTCCCCCCAGGGAGCAGCAGCAGCATCCACCCTGCCCTAGCCTGCCTGGTAGCTCCTTTTAGGGCCACTACTGATGATTTTAGGCTTGCAGTTGGACATCAGTGTAGGATGTACTCTTCCCTTCTACAAATATTCAGAAACTGAAGGCTTAGAGGTTTTTTTTTTCTTCCCCTTTTTTCAGTCCTTGTCATTTGCTGTTTGAGTTTCCCACCATCATTAGGGTGATGGTCAGCACTGTGCTCAGCTGGGTCCAGACCTAATACAGGGTCCTAAATATGGAGTTCTAAAACCCTGTGGGTTTTAGGGTTGTTTTCCTAGGTGAATTTTGTTGAGGGGTGAGAAAAAGGGTGCATAAAACTGGGCCTTTGCACTGACCTGGTTTTGAGGACAACCAGATCACAGCAGCCCTGAGCTCCGTGGGGGAGAGGGGAAAACGGGCAAAGAGAAGGAAAACATTAGAAAATGGCCTTTGCTGCTAAAGAAAACATTCATGGAACTGCAGATTTCTGGCTTTCTTATTCCTTTAACTAATAAAGGAATTAATTGTAACATGAATAATATTTAATGAATTGTGTAAGTAATAAAATTATTATATTAACAGAAAAATACCAAGAACCTTAATACGAAAAGTCCAAAAGGGTTTCAGACAATAAACCTGAGGAAGGGGCAGGCCCCGGAGGAGGTGAATCACCCCCATGATTTGGGGTGATCACACAGAGCTGCAGGTGACACCTCGGGGGGATCAGGAGCTCGTGCCAGGACAATGCTGCTCCCGGCACGGCCCCCTTTCTAATTTTATCACTGAAATGTCACTGCATTACCACAGTTGTGGCAAGCAGATGTCCTTAAGCATTCACTCTGTCACTGGCAGGCAGCAGCTAACCTTTAGCCTGCCTTTTTTTTTTTTTGCTTAAAGGAGTCTGATCACCCATAATTTTGAATGGGAACTGTTTATTCCCGTAATTTACAACTGTTTTCTTTAATGGTTCTTCCCCTGACGCCTCTTTTCAGCCTAATTTATGCTAAACCTTGAATACAGCCAGTGTGATGCTTGTGCATCAAGTTAGAGCATGAGACCAGAACTGCCCACGCACGACATAGGGTCTGTAAAACCCCACTGGCTTCTTCCCACCACAAGGGATGCACTTTTGGGTGGGCCATGTTTATTTTTCCCCTCTTGGATTCATTTTTGTGGGCAGGGAGTGCAGATTTTCCACCGTGGGGGCACCGCTGGTCCAGCCACCTTGGCCCCATCGCCAGCCCCGTGACACCCGTCGCGTGTCCACCTCTATGGATGTGCAGGGGGGCCACGTTCCTGCCCAGCCATTGACCTCCCCTCCCCAGTGCCTCAGTTTCCCTCTTGCAAAACAGAAAAGGGGAATAACTTTGGTTTTGGGCTGGAAAACACATCTCCTTCAAGCGCTGTGATCCTGCCCTGCACCTTTCCTGATGGGGGGGATGTCCCCTTTGCACCCCAGTCCTTCAATCCTCGATGATTCTCTCCTGCACCCTCCATGGGCCATGTCCTAATGCACCCCAGCTGCCTGGGTGGCCCTGGCGTGCAGCACCCAGGTGCTGCTGGTGCATGGTGTTCCAGTTTGCCCAGTTCCCAGTCCCAGTATGAGGTCCCAGACAGAGCCAGTGGGCCCCTGTCCCAGCATCCAGTGCCAGGACAATGCTGATCCCAGTGCCAGGCCACGTGCCAGTGCCTGGAAGGTCCCAGTGGCTGGTGCCAGTGCCCAGGTGATCCAGTTGCTGGTCTCAGTACCCAGCTGGTGGTGCTGGTGCCTGGGCAGCTCCAGTTCCCCATCCCAGTTCTCCATCTGGGTGGTACCAGCCGCCGTTCTCACTGACGGGCGCCTTTTCCAGATGATCCCAGATTTTAGGGGAATCTTAAGGTGCCTGGGGAACACCGGTCCCAGTTCACCAAACCGGTCCCCAGTGCCGGACACAGGTCCTGGACCAGCGCCAGCCGCTGCCGCTCCCATTTCCCACTGCTGGGCGGTGCCAGTCCCGGCTCCCAGCGGTGGGGAGCGCCCGTTCCCGGTGCCGGTTCCCGGTTTCCATTCCCGGTGCCGGTTCCCGTTCCCGGTGCGGTCCCAGCGCAGGCGCGGCGGCGGCGGCCGCTGCCCGCCCC